AGCTGAAATATTCAAAGAGATGGCCAAACAGACATGACCACCTCTACATGCATTCATTTCATGCACATCATAAAAAGAACACATAATAACCAAACATGGCAAGAACTTAATATCATATTTTTAATGAAATCACACCAGGGTAATCAATACCTATAATTATAGGTATAGATTATAATCTATACTTAACAAATACATTCTACATGCACATCAGTGTGTGTCTTCTACAGTGTGCTTCAGTTGTGGAGAAATTTCTGCTGGTGGTTAGTATATCCAACTGAAAGCTGGTCTTTATTCTTCTTGGATACATTGTATGAATTTTCATGCATTTTTTGTCAGTGGTTATTCATGAATATCTCAAATAGTGAGGCCAGGACCAAATAAAATTTACCTCCCCCCCAGATGTAAAGTAAGTAAAAAGTAAAGCTATCCCTGTACCAGGCCATGAAGGCCCACAGGGTTGTGCGACATTGAGGGTCCCACATTATCTAGACAATCGGCTCACAGATGGTGGTAAGGCTGTCAGCCTTACGCGCCAGCCGTGCTTTACTCCCCAGGAAAATAATTTATTTAATTCCAGGTACTCATTTCTGTTAGAGGCTGAGTGAACCCCAGGGCCATAGTGCAGCACTGGGGTTCACTCAATTGAAAAAATCCAATGACCTCACCGGTATTTGAGCCTGTGACCTTCCTACTTGTAACATAGTGCCTTAACCACTATGGTACCGCCCCCCCCCCCAAATGTATATTTAATAAAGAAAGGGAAATCTGTAGTCTTATTTATATTTTCATATTTCAATAGTTCACTTTTTATTTTGTACAGTATCACTTATCTGGCAACTTTAGGTCCATTTTGTGCTGTCAAGAATATTTAACCTTTGCACATAGTTTCAAATTGAAAGATATGGACATGAATCATGACATGAGGCAGTTCTTGTTAAGATTTACACTTTTAAAAGCAAAACTGAATGATGAATATCTAACAAAACACACATAAGATTACTTAAGCCAGAAATTATATATGCTATTATTAATTTATGTTTGACCTCAATGTTTTCAAAACAAGTACCAAGTAAATGCCCTGGGTGGAGTCGGGAGACACCCAGGACTGCTTTAGCTAGACTAGAGTCTTGCCTTCTTGGCACAAATGCAACCTCAGGTCTTTGGTCAGGGAAGGTATGGGTTCCTTTTAATGCCCAGGGGTCCATGCATACAGATGGATAGACCAATGCTAAGAGATGCATATGGTGCAGTGTTTCTATCACTTACTAGGCCAGCCCTATTATGTTCTAGGTCCTTGATAAACATAGTGACAAAGATTATGTGATGCTTACTTGGAAATTGTACTTAAATTCAGTTCTGTGTTTCAGCATTGATTTTATTTCATGTACTCATTTAGTATGAAAAAATGTGCTTAACATTACAACACAGAGATATATGGGGGAGTGGATGTACAGATCCATGTATTCTTGACCTCAGCACTAGTTGGAGGTGAGTGGTCAGCTTCATGCCCTGGCCACTTTACTCCTGGAGAAAGAGCTCCTGGTATCCACTGGATGGAGGCTGGGTGGGCCCCAGAGCTGGTCTGGACAACATGGAGAGGAGAGAAATCTTGTGCCCACTGGGACTCAAAACTCTGACCCCTCAGCCGTTCAGCCTGTAGCCAGTCACTATACCGAATGAGCTATCCCAGCTCCTATTATGAGTACTGAATGCAAACAAATTAGAAAGTTTGTCAAACTACTGTTTAGTGCTGGGCTTCCTGCAATTCTTGCAGATTCTAAATTTTGTTTTTCATTGTGCTTGGTCATGCACTGCAAATTAGTTTCTGCATTGTATTCTTTAAGTGATTTTGTGTTATCTTGTTACCCACAGACAGCTGTGCTAATTTTGGTCCCTTGATCAAAGAGTATGGCACGAAGTACACTCATCATTTTGCTAAGTGAAGTCAGCAATACTCCATGGACAGCACGTTTGTAAAAATTCTCTGTAATTTTCTAATTGTTACTCACTCTCCCCTCGGTTTTTCCTTCTATACTTGTCAAAAATCTCATCTCAGCTGCTATTGCTCTACAAGAAGTATGTCAAACTTTGTAAAATATATCCAAAAAGAATGAAGATTGGCCTTAAGGTAGCTACATTAATGACCTTTAGTTGATGTTCCAGTATTAATATGTGTTGTGGATAACACTGATAATAGTGTAAACTGTATTTTTAAGAACAAATTATTACTTGGATTTTAAACTCAAAAGTATACCAAATGCATTAAGTCTGCAAATCCACAGAAATTTTATTTTTTTAATTAACACAATACTTGAGACTTTCTGTTTCTGAAGAAGTAGCAACCCTTGAATGTAACAATTTCATGAAATAAAATAACCGTTAGAGAACACTTTCTTTCAATTTTCTTACAGTAAAAATCAAATTAAACTGCACATTCATTTTTATGATTTTAGTGAGCATTAATGTTTAATATCTGTGGCATATGACATCATATAATCCAAAGATTCTGTGACTATTATATATGGTTTAATACATCCATGAAGTATGGGTAAATAGCCTTTAAATCACTTCCAAACTCCATCTTACTTTTCTGCTTTTTCATTTTGATCAAGTTTGAAAGTACCATTCTGCTCATTATTCTTTTTCATTATTTTCAAAATCACAGACTGTTACCTACGTACTTTTAGCATGCCCTTGGGACATGAATATATGCCAGTTAAATCTATATACAATCATCAGACATACAAATATTGCAGTAATTCTTTTTTAATTAATTTTATTCCTGATTCCCCCTGAGGATTTTGGCCTGCTGCCACCCTCAGTTATGATAAGATAGTTTAAAAAGATAGTAAGGCATCTTGTAAACACTTAATATTACCCTCAATCTAAAACAAATGAGAAATCTAAGCAATAATTCAGTCTTCTTCATCTATGTGCATGAATTGGACACAGATTATCAATATCCTACTTAAAATAAAATAAAACTAAGTTAATAACTGGTTAACTAACTAGAATTTGTACACAATAATAAAACGCAATATATACGAGTTCTTGATTTATGTTATAATAAAATAATCGATTATTTTACTATTGTATTTTCTAAATCTGGGTTTAACAGAAAAAACAACTATGTGGCACAATTCTGGCTAAAACAATCAATTATAAGTCTTCAAAGAACCAAGTTAATACCACTGATATGGTACATTCAAGAGGTATTTTATGTAATAATGGACTTAACAATGAAAATGCTTTCATTGACTAGAGATAGGTTAACCCAGGGAATGCAGAATATACACTTCCTACAGCACTGTAGTACAAATTTCACACATGTAAGTTAATCTGGATGGAATAAATATTCACACCTTAAATAACTTGGTGCTGTAGAATGCACTAGCTACTGGATTGAAGTCCTTATCCATTAACCAAAGGAATGTACCGGAAAGAAAGTGAAGTGGAATATATTGAATAACATGAGAACAAATATAATACATGTAGGACGTTGCTACACACCTCATAGCACATGAAAAAATCAAAATGCATTGCATCCCCAGCCTGCATCTGTGCACATCACAATAAAATAAACGCCCAATATCTCCATATGTTAGATCAGGCCTGCAAGAAGGTGATGTCAAGGAGGAGCCATATGTAAAATCAATCTCCCACTTCCCAAAGTGCACAAAAATAACAAGAGAATCTATTATACAAAAGAAATATTGTTAAGTGCACTAAAAATATCATACTTCATAATTAATCTTAAAAGTAGAAAGTTCAGGTCCAATTTTGAAACTAAAAAGTTATTCTCTGGATACCAAAACTTGAGAAATGCCATTACTCTGTACCTAACTATAATCTTTTGACAACAAAACACTGCATGCCCCTTCAATTTGCTTTTTCAACAGTTTTTGGTAATTGAGAGAAACTAGTACAAAACTACATCACTGGCCTCTGACTGCTCTCCCTATGTGTATCAAGAGACTCCTATCCAGTAGCTTACATGCAGAACACAGCAACACCCAGGGCTAACAGGACAAGCATAAAATCAGTCTGTTCTCTGATCGAATATAGAAATGATGTATATATGACACAGAAAGCTGTTCATGACAAGCTTTGCTGTGCTCAGTCTAGAAAATCACAGCAGTGGAATAAAAATAAAGGAAACAAAGTTGCAAATTCCAACTTCAGAGATGAACGAACTTATCCTGGTATACTATCAATCCTTTCCTTTCTGCATGGCTATTGCAAATTGTTGGAAGGTATGTTCTGTCTGATATAACACACAGAAGTTTCAATAAATTAACTTTCAGTGTGCTGGAAAAATCAGAAAAATAGTGCCTCAATAGTGATGTGCTAACAACTGGCGCCATATTCTTGTGTTCTAGATATATGTAAAGAGCCTTTACCCTACATTATGCAACAACAATGCCAAAAGCATTTTTTTACTTTTTTAATATTTCTAAATTTTATTTGATAAGCCACACTTGTAATGAAAACCAATCCCAAACAATGGTTAGTGACACATGTTATATGAGTAATGGGCTGTCACCCATCACACACACTGGGTACTCTCACATGCCTTCCCCCCTTCCCCCGCCTATGTTATTATACTGTACAGATACAACACTACATATTTTATAACGAATATCACTATAACAGCTCAAGAAAAAGAAACAATATACATTCCATCCCAAAACCTTGATTATATAAATGTAAATAATAAAACAATCCATCAAGAAACCAAAACTCAATAATAACTGCAAGCAAGGCAATGTCATTGGTTTTAAAAACTAGCTCTTCCATTAGCTGCTGTTGCCAGGATGGCAAACAGCGGGTTGTAGCAACCCTTCACATTTTCAGTTATTCTTGTAATGTTTCTTGTTATCACATTAACAGAAGTTTTATAATATGTCATTTATGACACTGTTATCTAATTTTGTGATTGCTAACAGCACCTGCTTCCATTTTTTAATGAATGCATTTCAGCTACAAAATAATAAACTTACAATCTACATGTTATCATCTATTTACAAGCTATAAAATTTTCTTTCCATGCACACTTCCTGCTTTTCGAGCTCCTTCTGTAAAATGCAGCAAATATCTGTCATAGTAGTTATTCTTGGATACTGGTTGTCATACCACACAGCTTAAGATAACCAAGATGCATGGACATTTGCCAAAATTGCATCGACCCTAGCACATCTCTCTGCGAATCCCATCGTATCCTTGAAAAGAAACTTGTCCCTACAAGCCTTATATTCTCCACAGCAAAAAGAGCAAGTGACAAGAGCAATACAATAATGAAGTCAGTCTCATCAGATCAAACCCCAGCAAACAAGGAGTTTGGATGGCCACACCTCTGAAGTGGAATCACAATGGAAAAACTTTTTTATTAGGAAGAGCAACTGGGGCCAGTAACCTGTACCATTTCTCTCAGTTCTGGGCAGCTTATATATACAAACAATACAGCATTTCATTAAAATAGTATGACAAGTGAAACACTTCTTTGCTCCAGTATTATTAATGTTATGTACTTACCCTTGCTCCCTCAGTTACAATTTTTCAGATTCTTATGTGGACTTAACAAATGAAGGAAGTAAACAGTGTATGAAGGACCTGCATGTAAACCGAATAATTTCTGTCAAGATATGAGACTGCATTTCAGTAATCAAATGAGAAAAAGAGTCCAGGCATGACCACTGTCTCCACTGTTTTCACTTGTTTCCAAAAATGTTTCTGCTTCAAGATATTGTAATACTGTTGTATCAGTGGTCTGAGAAGTACAAAATACATTAGTACTAAGCACATTCATTTAGCAAAATAATTTGAGAGACTGATATTCATGCCTGCCTTAACACTGAATTTCCAATGTGACTCCAACTCCACCTTATGGCCAGAACTATGAACTACAGTGTACAATACAGTAATGTGTTTTCTCAGTCTTATAATTTGTATTCCCTCATACTAAAAGGAACATTTTAACATTACACATGATACGTATAAGTCTTACATTATTATGGTCCCTCCTCAAGCTAGTAGGATTCCAACTTTGTTTCACCATAAAAGACAATTATGTGCTGATCAGGCATTCACACTGTGCAGGTGCAGTGGTCATTGCTAGATGCTGATATGCCTTTAACTGTGGCTCTTATCAGAGTTTCCAATTTTAAGATGACTTCATCTCATAATCCCAGTTTGAAAATAAATTTTAGGATTAAAGGAAATCACCAATAACAAATTATTTTCAGGCGTGAAATCTCAAACAACTATGTAGATAAAGAACAAAGCACTACCCTGGTTGCCAAATCTATAAAGAATCACAATTTCCTCACAATGAAGTACAATAGGAAAACTGAAAATGTGTTACATATATACCTACTTTTCTAGCAGCATTTCCAAGTCACTTAGAAGGAATTATAAATATCACTGGAAAAAACTGAAAAGAAAACGCAAAGTTGGATTTTCCTCCCAACTGCTAAGAGTGTGGACAATTTCTCATAAACTTCTTACAAGCAATCAACATAAATAATATTGCACTGAATTCACAGTTGCACAAAAACAGTCTTTAAACGTTGTATATAAATATAATGTGTAAAAACGGTAAATATAATAAAACTGAAAATTGCTACTATTTTAATAATAAAAAATATGGCAGTCTTCAGAGAATATACTGTCAGTGCAGAACTTGAATGAAATGAGACAAGACAATGCTTCATCCCATTCCAGTCAAGAGAACACGGTGGCTGTTGAAGTGAGGTAGTGAAGTGTTTGGTTTGTGCTGAACATGTATTATGTGGTTTGGAAGCAGGACTTGCATGCTACAATGACTATGCTACAACTCTCTTAATGTGCTGTAACATGCGGATTTAATACAGAAAACTCTTGCTATTGTCTGAATTACTTAACTCACATAACTGCAGAATGGCTGCAGTAATATTATGTATATTTCCCACCTTCAACAGTGCCTGTGTGGCACCTTGCATTGTCAAATCAATAAACATACTTGTCCTCAAATTTGTGATGATGTTAAATGAATACAATTATTGTGTTTCTGGTCATTATCCATCATCCTCTATTTATTTAAAATATACAAAATTTTGGAGACTGGATCCTGTCTCTGTCTTAAGGTGAAATCTACTCAGTTGGGCCCAGCTGACAGAGGTGGTCCCTATCTGGCTGGGCACAAATCAGTAGGTTTCACCTGATGGCATTATTATATGGAAGTACCGAGCTCTTCAAACTGCATAAATCGTATGCCTTCAGCCACACAGAAGAAAGGATAAATAACTGAGTATAAGTGGTAAAGTTTCATGCATTTCTAAAAATTTTCAGATGACAACTGAAACCAATACAGTCTTAATTAAATTTATCCTCAAGGACCATAATTCTGCTAGGCAGTAGATATAAGACTTGAATTTAAGAACGTTCGCAAGAGTTTTCATGTCTTTAGACAGACTGATAAAACTATGGCATATGTTTCCACTGCACCATTGGAAACATAAGAGGAACATGTACTTGAAAGATTTTTAATAATTCTATTCAAGTGCATGCAAATTCTGCTTCATTTAACAAGTTATATACATCCCTGTTTCAGTCCCTTTCTGCCATTTCCATAGATGTATTACGCGACTCATCAGAGGTACAATGTTCCCGAACATCATCTTCATGCATGTCTTCCTTTTTGGATGCAGATGCAACTGTAGGGTTCATTGGAGGCATGATAACACGCATCGGTTCAGGTTTCCGACTGACTGACAAGTCTTCCACTTGATCCTCTTCATCTTCTATTCCATCATTACCACTGCTGGGGATAAGCAGTTCATTGCTTGCAGCTGCTGGACTTGGAGTCAAACTATTGTGGCTACGTATGTACTTTATTAGACTTGGACTTGGGCTCGGTGAATGACCATTGCCATTCTCCCCTGGACTCGACGATGAGTTTCCACTTCTAGCCGATGATGCTGCATGAGCAGCTGCTGCAGCCATGGCAACCATGGTTTCCCGGTCACCAAGTTCACGCTTCATTCCATCTAGTGCATGTTGCAGGAACAATGGCTCCATAATTGCGCCACTTGGAGATGGATTCACCACTTGCTCTTCTCCTTCAGACATTCCTCCTCCACCCACAGCAAACACACCTCCCAAGGAATTACTCCCTACTCCACCGTTACCCCCACTACTGCTATAGGGGAAGTAACTACTCCCTCCAGCACTCACATTGGAACCACGCTTGTTGAATGGTCGGCTTGTAGTGATTCCCATTTTTTTCACTTTGTCATACAGTGTTCGGCTAGGAACACCATATTTCCGAGAAGCTTGGAGAGCAGACATTCCATTGCGAACTGCCTCAATAGCAGAAAGTATGTCATTTCTTGTATACTGCTTGTACCGCTTCCATTCCGGCTTCTGTGTCGGCACATACGTTGCAATGCCAGATGATACACCTAGGGAGAACAATAGCATGCACTTTAAATATAGGTACTCTCAACTAATTTAACATTTTACTGTAGGGTAGCCCCACTGATGGTGTCTCCACCTTGTCTTGGTGGTGGGGTTTGAGTGCTCCCAAGACCCTGTAGTGGTAGCATAGCTACTGGTAGGTCACCCATGCCGGACAGGTCAAGGGGTAGGAGCCAAATGAAGAGGGACACCATGGTCCTCCAGGTTGGGGGTCAGGCATTAGGCTAACAACCTCACACCGGGAAAATTAAATGTTCAGAAACCTGACAATCAGCCTCGGATTGGATGGACGAATGGAGACGGATTGTTCAGGATGCCAAAGCTCACCCTGTGTTGTAGCACTGAGGGGAAAGAAGAGGACTGTAGGGTTAATGTCATGGTTAATCTCTAATGTAAATGTGCTGTCAAAATGAACCATATCTCCTCATGGTAGCCAGCTTGAAAGCATCCTGATCATGCAGAATTTTTTGCTTCCCCTCTGGACTGAAAATTTCTGGTAGCAGTGAGGGTTGAACATAATCTCACTTCTTAGCTACACAGGTCATGCAGGAAGATTACTGTGGACAATGAACTGCCGAAAGACGTGGAACTGGCCATGGCCTATTTTAAGACACTATCTAGCATTTGCCTGCAGAGACTAAGGAAAATCAGAAAATATCTCAAATTCACGAACTAGACATGGGATTTCTTGAGTTCGAAGAATGAGGGGTAACCACTCAGTGATTTATGTGTTTGTAACAAATTTAAGACATACAAACTCTAAGGTTTAGTACCTTCTTTCATGAGTTGAATCAGTTGACTGAGCAGTTCCCTATTGCTAAGGAAAGCAGCGTTCATCACCATATTCATAGAAGCCTACAAGCTGAGCATACTCTGAACCAAATTCTATCCAGTTAACTTATTTACATCCTATGTGTCTAAGATCTATTGTTATCTTCCCATATATTAACTGAGTCTTACAACTAACCTCTAGAAATCGGCTTTTTGTCCCCCACCCAAAAAAAAACTCGTATGCAGGCTTCTTCTAAATATCAAAACTTGAAATGTTCTATATGGCTGTCTAAGGTCTGCTCATGTGCCTAAGCATGATGGTGAAAACAATTTTGTAAAATCAAACAATATCCTGAATCTCATCATCAAGTTCTTATGCACCCACCTGAAATACTGACAAAACAAGTTTCATGAAACTTTGTGACCAACAGAATATAAGTTAGTATAATAAATCTGTACAGGATGCTAGAACTTATTATTCATCGCCAAACTGGCAATCAATGAAATCTGCAAAAGTCATACAGCCCAGATAACACCAAAGTCAACTTCAATGAGATTTTTTTCTATTTTTTCTAGTGCAGAACCTACAAATTGCACTTCACACATTTTAACAAACTTGCAAATTGATAGCCACCTAAGTTGGTCGAACCATATAGATAAATTGATCCCTAAGTTAAGTGGAGCATGCTACGCAGTTAGAAGCATGTTTCATGTCAGCAATACTGAGACTCTCAAATTGATTTATTTTGCCTATTTTCATTCTGTAATGAAGTACGGAATAATTTTTTGGGGTAACTCATCTTACAGCCAGAAGATATTCATCTTACAAAAGAAAATTGTTAGAATAATGGCTGGTGTTAAACCAAGAGAATCATGTAAAAATATCTTCAAGAGGCTAGAGATCTTAACTCTCCCATGTGAATACATATTCTCCTTAATGATCTTCATTGTAAAAAACCAAGAATTTTTTCCAACCAATTCTACAATACACAATGTCAACACAAGGAATAAAAATCAGCTTCACAGACCAGTTGCCAGCCTCTCTTGTTTCCAGAAGAGTGCATATTATACTGGCATTAAAATCTTCAACAATCTACCACCAAATATCACAACTCTTATAGATAAACAGGGACAATTTAAAGTAGCACTAAAGAGATACTTAATTACACACTCCTTTTACTCTGTTGAGGAATTTATGCTTCCAAACAACATAAAGTGTATGTAATGTTTTCTCTTGTTTGGAACACAGGAAAAAAAAAATCTAGTATATGTTAATGTATGGATTTATGATGGATATTTTACTACTTTTGTGAAATCCTTACTATTTATGTGAAATTGAATTGTGCATGTATATATGTATTGTATGATTTTTGACAAATTCCACATCCGGTAGGTCATCTGACTAACTCATGGATCTATGGAATGCTATGTATGTATGTATGTATGTAACTGTCATGCCATATGGTACAATAATCTCCTGGGGAATTCAACTAAAGGTAACAAATTGTTCCTTTCACAGAAGAAAATATTATTATGGGCAGTGCTTACAGAAGTAAACCATGTAAGGTTTCATTTATGTGATGTTGCACATTAACACTTGCTTCTGATTGTGAGCAAATATAGCATGACCATTAAGTCCAGTGCCCTAGGAAACCTTGGTTATTTGGAAAAATAGAGAAAAATGTACAAATAGAAAACTTCTTGCAAATCATGTGTTTCTAATCTCAAGTGTTGGAATTTTTTACATAGGTCCTTCAGTGTTCAAAACAGGTGTATATTATGCCAGACTTTTTAATTGTATAACAAGCTCCCATACATATGCATAAAAGCCCTGGGCTTGCCATTCTGTCATTAAGTAAGCACTGAAAGGTACACATGCTTCATCTGAACTGCAGTCAAGACCTTTTTTGAAAACAAATTTCCATTGTTCTGTTGTTGAATTTATAAACCTTATATAATTAATAGTAGCTTCTTAATTATATATGTGGAACTGCAGTACTTATTAAGAAATAACTATTGGGAATTTCTCACTTATGTAATATTCAGTATATCATGTTCTGTTGTGACTTCATTATTGTATATATTTGTACACAATGGCTTGTTCCACACCCCAGCAGGGAGGAATGATGGACTGCATATAATCTGTGCATCTACCTACCATACCATTAAAGTGTTTAAATAAAGTGAAGATAAAACTCCACATATTCTTAACCTGGGCATGAGTTGTCAACTTCACATGTTGACTGCTTCAAACCTGGAGAAGGGCCCCCACTATCTACTGAACAAAAGGACGTTTAGGCCACGAAGCCAGTCTACATGAAGTACGAGAGAAAGGAATTCAAGCCCCTACTCTTGCAGAAAATTCAAATTCCTGAGTCTCAGCCTAACACATGACAGGAAGTAATATAATATCACAGTATTTCCAATAATGACATTATGGCACTGATGTTATGTGTGGCTTGGTTAGATTAAATTATATGCATTCAGATCACTGGTCAATTTATATTCTAGCATACAGAACCATTGCTGGGCAGAGACCTCTAAATGGACGAGTACAGCCATTGGTATGCAATAGTCAAATAAACAAACACCCATTTCTAAGCAAAGGTTAGGCCGTGCCATAGCTCAAGCAGTTAGTCGCTGGCTTCCCACCACGATGGCCCGGGTCTGAACAAGTGGGATTTGTGGTGGACAAAGTGGCGCTGGGGTAGGTTTTCTCTCAGTACTTCGGTTTCCCCGGCCAACCTTGATTCCACCAAATTCTCCATCATCATAATCATCTGGGGCAGGTACAATAGGCCAATCAGTGGCTGCCATGCTGAGTGGGCCCAACTGGACTCCACCCCCCACTATGCGAAAAAAAAAAAAGTAAAGGTTGATAAACATGTTCTCGCAGAAACAATATCCAGTATATTGCTAGGCAACTGCCATATCAACAATAGAAGAATTGTTGGAGTTGGTGTTTTCTGTTGGGTTTGCCCCAGGGTTATATAATGAGGACAGAAGCCAAGCTCCAGTCAGTTGTCAGCAGTTCAGTTGAGTGAAGTTACGTGAAGTAGCTGGTTGGTGAGTGAGAGAGTTCAGTTCGTAGTTGTCAGTTTAAAGTCAGCCTGTGAAGAGAAGACTAGGGAGTTAGTGTGAAATGGCCACCAGCCTGGGACCCAGTTAGTTGTCAGTTGACAAGAGTTTTGCACAGACGGCTGTAACAAGAGGACCAGAATGTGGGAAGCTGAACAACTGTCACTGGTAGAAGCCATTGCCTGGAAACGGCTAGTGGAGACTGTAATAGACTGAGGACACTAATCTGTGTGTGTCAGTGATCCGTAAACTGTAGTTCCGAGTGGTGTATACAAGTGGTCAATAAATCCATTAACCAACCCATCCCCCATCTACAGCCATAGTCCCCTAAATCATGACAGTATTATGAAAAGTCTTTATGTTAATTTAGTCAACAATCCAAGGCTTTGCTACATGTATGAATCAACACATTCCTTTCTTCTATTAACTTTTTCTAGTATGTTGATCCTGACATACAGTACAGGTGCAGAAAATTCAAATTGGTAACTTATTCAAGAAACAGACTAAATCCATGTTTATGTCTAGAAGATAATCGGCCAATTTATTCCATCTGATTTTAACCTACAGCTTATTGGTATCATATCTGTGTCTCTTTACCAACTAATGACACTTAAGCCAACTGACAAAATCTTCTTGAGACTTGGTACGAACATTAAGCTGACCTCATCTATTCACTCTTTAAGTTTTCTACCATAAATACGTAGGTCGTACTGAAAGTCATGAGCAACAATTTTTTGTAAAGTAACATGCATTATTATTGACAAACTAAATACACCACCTAAATCTACAGAGCTTTCTTTATTTTTCCACATAATCACCACTTCTTTGTACACATTTCTCCCAGCGTTCTGGGAGTTTGAAAATTCCCATTCTGTAAAATTCTGTTGCAGCCATCCAAAGACACTGACCCACTGCTTTCTGAATTCAGGGTGCTTATGGAAGTGTGTGCATGGGTGCGAGCAATGTTCGAAGATGGGTGAAACATTTTAAAGATGGGAAAACCAGCATCGAAGAAGAGCCTCGGAGCGGTCGTCCTCGAACAGCCTCAACTGAACGCAACAAGGAAAGAGTGGATGAGATCATTCAAGATGACAGGCGTGTGACTGTGGACACAATAGCCCGAAAACTTGGAATA